ATGACCCCCCATCCCGGCGACGACCCCCCCGACCCTCCCCGACGCCCACCTTCCGCACCACGTGGCTCAGCTCGACCTCCAGCCCGCCCACCACACGCTGCCCGAGGAGCACGGGCTGGAGGAGAAGGAGGAGGACGTCCCCGAGACCGAAGGATTCCTCTCCGACGAGCCGCATGTCGAGGACGCCGTGAAGGACGAAGGGATTCTCGGCGCCCTCAGGAAGACGAGGACGTGGAGGTCGAGGCTAAGGAGGAAGAAGGAGGCCTAGGGGAGGACACGGCAGCGGAGAGGGTCTCGAGTGAGAGCGCCTCGGGAGAGCACGACCCGCAGGACATCGCGAGGGGCGTCGTTCCCGAAGACACCGCGGCCGAGGAGACCAGCCTGGCGGAGGACCGTCGGCCGGGCAGGAACACACAGAAGAAGACCAAGAAGAGAAAAGTGCAACACACGGCGCTGAACTCCAAGAACACGTGGCAAATGAAAGTGCAGTGGAGGACCATGTGAGTGGGAGAGTGCGATTCAGGAGGAAAAGTCAGAACAAAGTGTTGCCGAAGAAAATGCCCCGAGGAGAGTAAGTGGAAGAACAAGCGCCCGTAGATTAGCGATAGAGAGCAACCAGAAGACTCCGTACCTGAAGACAGTGACCTTGGAGAAAGCAAAGCAACTGGAAGCTCTTCAGAAGCGAATACAACGAGTGAGTTCGCGTCAGGAAGGAAATGACAAACGAGAATGTCCAGGCAGAGAGTGTCACAGTGGAAAGCGTGTCAGAAGAACAGGCCGTGGAGAAGGAGCCAGAGGTAGAGGCGCATGTACATCCTGTCGAGATGATGCAAGCCGACGAGACGCGAGAGACTGTCGTTCTGGCCGAGCCCGTCGCGGAGGAGAGCAAAGAGGAAGAGAACAAGACGGAAAAGGAGATTGTCTCGGAAAGACACACCGCGGAGGAGAGCAAAGAGGAAGAGAACAAGACGGAAAAGGAGATTGTCTCGGAAAGACATACCGCGGAGAACAAAGAGGAAGAAAAGACGGAAAAGGAGATTGTCTCGGAAAGACACACCGCGGAGGAGGACGTAGTGGAAGAAGACAAGACGGAAAAGGAGATTGTCTCGGAAAGACACACCGCGGAGGAGAACGAGAGGAAGAAGACGAAACGGAAAAGGAGATCGTCTCGGAAAGCACACCGCGGAGGAAGACGTAGCGGAGGTGGCCGCCCCAGAGGAGGAGAAGAGAGCGAAGCCCAGGAGGACGTCCGCAAGACACGCTGCGGCAGAGGGAGAGCCGGAGGAGGAGATGGCTGCGGCGGCACGAGACGCTGCGAGTCCTGAAGGGGACGAGGAGGAAGTTCTGGCAGACGCTTCGGAACAGGAAGCTAGCCATGAAGAACCCAACTCCACAGACATCATGGACCCAGGGTTAAGAAGGAAGTAGAGATTTCGGAGGAAGAAAAAAGAACGCCGAGGAAACCGCAGGAACTGAGGAGAAGACCGAAGGCGAAATCTTGCCCCTCGACCTGGAAGCTCGGAGGAGGAGGAGACGCAGCCGATCCTAGTCGCGGCCGAAGGGGACCACGCCGGTTCTCCCTCTCCAGCCGAAGGCCAGAGTGACCAGGGCGGCGTGGCCTTCGTCAACGATGCGCCGTCGTCCCTGGATAGCTCCGAGTTGTCCTCCGAGGAGGTCCCCATCCCGGTGGAGATGCACACGGACACCGAGGGCGACAGTGGGGTGGAGATCACGCCGGCAGAAACTCCTCGCAAATCCCGCATCTACATCGAGGATGACTATAGCGACCCCGCTCGCGTCACCCACCCCGAAGACCCCGCTGTTCCCGAGGACGCCGCCGAGGAGGAGAGCGAGCACAGAGTCGTCAACAGCGGCCTCGAGAGCATGAGCATGACCTCGCCGACTCCTGAGGTGCCACCGCAGAATGTGCCAGTCGAGGCCACCGTCGAGGAAGACCAGGTTCCTCCCGCCAACAGCGAGGAAATAGAGTCGGTCACCCCGCCCCTCGACGCCGCAGAGCCTGAGGAGAACGTCACCTCCGTCATCGATAAGGTCGAGGAGCCTCCCGCAGTGCACGAGACGGAGGAGGAAGTGAGCGTAGTCGACGACGTCCTTCCGAGTTCGAGTGTTGCCCCTGCGCTCGCCGAGGACTACCCCGACTCCTACACTGACCCTCTGGATGCGGCTGACCTGCCTGACATCGACGTGACGCACGAGCACTTGCCCTCCAAGGAGCAGCCTCTGGACAAGGGCGAGGAGGCCGGCGCTGGCCAGCCAGCGATCACGCGTGAGTATTTGGTCATAGTCAGGATGTCAGGTTTTCTACTTTCAGTTTTCATATTCAGTCAAAATCGGTTGTTTTCCAACATGTCGATTCTACACGAGGAGTAGGAGTAAATAATATGTAAATTCCCATGGTAAAAACAGTGTAAAATCACGCGGCGTTCCTTTGATAGATATAAATGGGGTAGTTAACAGTATACAACTTGCAGTTTCCTTGTAGAATTCATTGTTGAGAGAAAAGGTAAAATCAAAGCCCACTGAGTTGCAATATTTCGAGGACCCCTTTTCTACGACTCGCAATATCTCGACAGAGGTGAGGTGGCAGGTGACTCCAGCGACCTGGCCGCGAGTGACCACATGCTGGAGGTGGAAGCAGGCACGCCTCGGGTCCTGCTCCCCAGCAGGAGCAGGTGAGCGCCGCAGCTCCCACGACCCTCACCGTCGGATGCATCATCGCCATCGTGTTCGGCGTTCTCGTGTCTCTAGTCATTCTCGTCGGTAAGCTGTGGATTCGCTCCGTTCTGCATTGTCTTTCTGCTCCGAACGAGTTTCTGAATGAATTGTTTTTGTCTGAAAGAACTGGACATTTTTTTACTGACGTGACCACACCAGTTACAAAATTACATTTACTCAGAACACGAAATTCCGCTACAGGATTTATTGGTTAAACACACACACACACACACACACACACACACACACACACACACACCCACACAACACACACACCAACACACACACAACACACACACACACACAACAAACAAACAACAACACACACTCACTCCCCCCCCCCCACCCCACAACAACACTCCACACAAGCCCAAAATCACATCTTCCACCCCCTCCGGACGCCCACTAACTCTCCATCCTGGCGCAGCGGTAACGTGCTGGTCTAGCAATCTTGCGGACCAGCGTTCACTCCGCCGGCCAGTGAATGGTAGTAACCCCGGCCATTCCTTGCACACAGGGGGAGATCCGGGCAAAAATAAAACAGACAGCATGCCACGAAAAGAATCCACTATAAAAAGGAATCGAAATAAATCAATTAAATTCCCCCAGGCGTCGGAGGTTTCGTCTGTACCAGCGACGAACTCTGAACCGCCCCAAGGCCTCAACTCCGACAGGGGCTACGCGGGCAGCGACTCCGGGGGCTACATCGACGACAAGTACGGGTGTCGTATGTCAACTCGCAGATTGACACGCCAAAGGTGAGTCGATTTTCTGTTCTCCCTTTCTGTGCATGTTGATGTATGTTGATGATATTCATGGATATGTTGGCAGGGGGGAGGGTATAATGCTTATAAGTTCGATAGAGCGGTGGGCATTTAATTATAAAGGAATGATTTAAAACAAAATGTTGGTGATGGAAATACAAGTAGAATAGTATTTATCTAATAGCATTAATGTTTCAGCTTGTAATGAATAATCTATATGTTAAATCTTTTTTTTTAGACTGCATTTGTATGCAGGGTAAATAGTTGCACTCTGAATGTCCTTTTACATATGTTTACATTATTTTTTATCTACGGCAGCTGCTAAACACAATTATGTTGCATGGCATATATTCTCTTTAAACGTGCATCCCTCATAAAGTCATAAGCGTCTTGTCTATAAATAAAATATAATATCTATAATAAAACACAAATTTTATAACGTTATCATTTTTTATCCCCTCCCCCACAAAAAAAAAAAAACATTCTTTAAGCAATGTATTCAAATTAACATCATCACCTGTAAAATTGTGTAAATAGACCTTTCGTCTAACGATAACATGTGGAGGATGGATAAACCGAAGGATCATGCGTATAAATTTGTTCTTTACGAGATTAAAGGTCTTTACAAAATCGTCATCGATATCTTTGATCCACGACAGTCCCTGAAAAACACCTTTTTTCTTTGCTTCTGCCTCACTTTTATTACATCATTTCTCTTGCATGAGGTTTACTCTGCACGTGCTTTTATACTAATTGCCAGCATCATTTGTTACACACACACACACACCACACACACACACACACACACACACACACACACACACACACACACACACACACACACACACACACACACACACACACACACACACACACGCAGATATACACACACACACACACACACATATACATACATACTCAATAAACAAAATCTGCATCATAACTTCCCTTAATACACACCGTCCACCCTGCCTCCTCCACCACAAAAAACCTCTCTTCTAACTGTTTCTCACGCCCACGCCCCTCTTGGTCTTTCCTCCTCCGCCTCGCCCGAAGAATGAGTCCTCCGGCCCTCGGAAGCTCAGCAGGCGCCTCAGGTTCTCATTATGCTGAAGAACCTGAAGCCGACCGTGTCTGAGGGGCAGCGAGCAAGCTGAGGAACTCGCTGCCGTCCATGCCCAAGATTAGACCAATCAATTTGCCAAACGTTGGACAGTTCATCTCGAAGCGTGAGTGGGAAGGGCTTGTGCCTCGACCCACGTGTCTGCCTGAGAATTCTTGCTTAGATACACGCACGCACAGATGAAATAAACAAATACATACACAACATAATAATAAAAAAAACACTGAACTATAGATCTATATGTACACACACAACACACACACACACACACCACACACACACACACACACACCACACAACACACACACACACACACACACACACACACACACACACACACACACACACACACACACACACACACACACACACACACA